ATACCTATGCGACGCATAGGCATAACCTATACAACTTATAGATATATAGATTTTGGCATTTTTAATCCTTGGAGGGTTACTCGGGACCGCATAGGTTTTCTACTATGCGACCACATAGTAGAGTGAACTTCTAAATTGAGTCATTTTGATCCTCAAGTTTCATTCCTTCACTCCTTGACCTCCTCTCTTATTTCTAGTTGCTCCAATGTTCCATTATAACTTCCAATTGGTGCTTAGCTTGATCAATTGGTTGATGTGTTCATCGAATCAACTTTCAGATAATTACAATTTGGTCCCTAAATTTTCATTTTGCTCCAATTTGGTCCTTTTTCGGCTCTTTTCTCCTGAATTCCACTATTTCCATAGAATCACCTACATTGCATGAATTCGACAAAATTAAGTAACAATTCAATCATTTTACTTGTATTTAAGTCATGTGTGTGATGTAAATAAGTGTGCAAAAACACACTTATCAAACCCCCCAAACTTGAACTATTGTTTGTCCTCAAACAAGATAGTGATATAATTCTGAACAAACATGGCTTAACACCTTGCCTTAGCTCAGGATTGGACTAAGTAATTGATTTTATGAAAATTTATCAGTGCAAAATGACATCAACCTTTACCTGTTAAGTGCATACTTGACGTGTGTGTGTGGATTCATGCTAACATATCAAGTTCATGATGAGTTTGAGTCCCGACCCCAAGTGGTCAAATGTCTCCTTACTCCCTCGAGAGATACACAACCCCCAAACTTATTCTTTTCACTCAATTATCCCGGGGTTGTGTTTAAAAATTATGAATTTACCTAGCTATAATTCTCACCCCCTCGTAGTTTGGATTAATTTCACTATCACAAGTTCACATGTCAACAAGTGAAGGCTATCCTAGTTTTGATTGCTTCGACACTCAAGACTAAACTAGGTTACTTGCCTCGCCTCAAAGGTATAGTTTCTTCCACTAATTGTCCAAGGGCTTTTCTTCTTGTTATTGTCTCTTTTTGTTTTTCTCACTTTGCTTTGGTTTTCTGCTTTTTTTTTT